TAAGAAATCCATGACTTATTATTAAGTGGCCCAATGATTAAAGCCCTGGACCTGGAGTCAGGAAGACCTGAGTTCAAATCCACCCTGAGACACTTATCAGCTGTGCGACCCTGGGCCAAATCATTTAATCTGTCTACTACAGTTTCCTCAACTGTAAAATGGGAATGATGATAATAATAGCACCTAACACCAAGAGTTATAAGGATAAAAAGAAATATTTGTAAAGCATTTTGCAAACCTTCAAGCCATATATAAATGCTAGCTGTGTCTGTCTGGACAAATGAGATCCCAGTAAACTTTTCATACTGCTAAGAAAGAAGAAAACTAAGAAAAACGAGACAATGTATTAAGGACTTTTGATAAAAGGTGCTATCATTATTTGACACAGATACAGAACTCCAGGGTTGTAAGGAACCTTTGTGACCATCTATTCTACCCACCTCCAAAAAGGAATCACCTCGACAATATACCCAACAAGGGGCCATTCAGCCTTGATTTGAAGATCTCCCATCTACATCAATACATGAATTAATCTAGGCCAATTATATTAGCTGTGAGTAAAGCTAACACTAATGTAATAACAACCACTTTATTAGGAATCAAGAGCTATTATTCTCTACTATTCATTAATTTTTAGTTATATTCTCTAGACTCCAAACATGCTTAAGTGAACAACAATGAGAAATCACTCTGAAAGAGATTTATATTCTGAAAACCTTGGGCAAGTAGAGATTATATCATTCACTGTATCTCCAATCCTAGCACAATACTTGACATGAAGGAGATGCTGATTTGGTCAAAGTTTAGAATTATATGTCAGAGTGGGCTCTTAGAAATCATCTAGACCAATCATTTTACAAATGGAGAAATTGAGGCTCAAAGAAGGGGGCTTGCCCAAGGTGAGAGGAGTTAATGACAAGGATGAGACCAGAATCCAATTCTTTTAAGTCCCAGCCACCTAAGATTATTTCAACTGCCCATAATTTCCACTCATTGGTAATATTACTGAAAAGGCCTCCCATTACAGTAAAGCATACATTTTTAAAAAGGAGTACCAGCATAAGACATGGTAAAGTAAGATGAACTGGCTCTCTGTATGAGCCAAACTCATGCATTCCAAATAGCGAATCAAAGTATTTAAACATGCATTTGTGAATACTATAATAACTTTCTTATTGGTCTCTCTGCCACCAGACTCTTCTCTGCTCTTTAATCCCACACTGACAAAATAATCTTTCTTTATAAAGATATTTGACCTCAGATATTTGCAAAGATATTTGACCTCAAAAATCATCTCAAAAACTCTCAGAAGCCCTCACTAAACAAAAAACAAATTAACATTCAAGGCTAGCAATCTAGTTCCAACTTGCTTTTCTTACTTTATTTCATGATGGGCTCCCTTTACTCCCTCTAATCTCCAACCAATTTGGAACATTCACAGTTCTCAGATACCACCCTTCCAACGCTTTCTCACACCTTTTAACACACTTTTCTACACTTTTCCTACACTCTTCCCATCCTTCAACCCTCAGCTCAAATGTCATCTCATCCATGAAGCTTTCTCTAATCCTGTCAACTAGAAGAGATATTTCCCTTTGAATCTCTCAGATCACTTCATGGACTTTTTTATACACTTAAACATTTTCTAATTTATTATAGTACTTCTGCATGTCTGTTCCCCTTACTATATAAACTTCTCGACTACAACAATCAATATTTTTCATCTTTATTTTGTTCCTAAGGACCCAGCTAAACTAAATCATCCTTACAATAAGGATGAAGCTGGAGGGAGGACAGCAAAGAAAAAAATGTAAAGGTCTATAACATTTCTAATACAAATTCTTTTTTCACTCAATAACACCATATCTGGCTACAATCTCCCATGAACGACATGAAGAAATAGAGACAGCAATAAAGAAAAGAGAGATAGCAAAAGCAGCTGAACTATCCGAAGAAGTATATGTCTGAAGTGAGGGAACTGAGAGACTGAGTCTCAACATTCATGAAAGATAGGGGGAATGCTTTTTTTTTTAAATAAAATCCTGGGCCTTATTACCTCCCCAAAAAAGCAAATGAGAAAATATCAATAGGGCTACTTTCCCAACTCTAAAAATCTTGATGAAGGTCTGAGAAGAGAACAGGCAAGCTTTCACAAATGTTACTCTATGGCAGATTACATCTTTCCAATCATGCAAATGACTGGAAAGTGCTCCACTGGCATTCATGCAATCTCACGAGATACAGAAGAATATGTTCAATGGATTCCCTTTGGTGGACAAAAATTTGCAGGATAAAAGGTATAAATGGATGTAATCTGTACCAGAGGGAATATCCACATCAATGAGATCATTAATCCAAAGTATTGAAGTCTGTCTGTCTGTCTCGGCCTCTCTCTCTCTCTCCCTCCCTCCCAGCACAGTATGATACACATAATAAATGCATAATAAACTAAATGTGTTAAATACATGAGGAAAACAGAAATATCAGTAACTCCAATAAAGTGTACCAACTCAGAATAGGTTGGTAAAAATTACTATCCTGACCAATCTTTCTCTAAGCCTCAATCTTCACAGTGCCTCCACAGGATAAATTTGTTACTTCTTCCAGATATATACTTTTTGAAAAGAATTCCATGTGGACAACTCCTACTACAAGCAAATGACTGTTGTAAAATTATACTCAGTGTTATAAACTTCTAAAAATTACAGCTGTCCAGAAATTGAATGGGTTATTTTGTGAGGTAGTGACCCTCCCCAACCCCCCCACACACACTCTCTCTTTCTCTCCCCTCCCTCCCCCATTAATAAAGGTGTTCAAATAGAAGCTTGATTATCCTATGTTTTAGGCAAGGAATTGGACTAGATGAATTCTAAAGTCCTTTCTAGCTCTAGGGATTTTACAGTTTTTGAAAAGGTGAAAGTTAAATAATTTTTGTTTTCTAGCCCAGACTATACTGCAGGTTAGTAGCATATACTCCATAACTCAAGAATAGGAACCAAAAATCAGGATGAAAGAGGGAACCAGAAGCAAGTCATAGGAAATAGAAAAGGTCTGTAGGTTTTTAAGAATTAAGCATCTTGAGCAATACAGTTTTTGTACAATGGCAAAAATTTTAAGCAGAGTAGTGGTCAAGAAACATTTTATTGCTATACACACATAGTCTAAACATTAAATTGATGAAGGGCAGGTTACCTAAGCCAACAATCTGTAATCCTTTCCAGAGCAGTTAAAAACAACAAATATACTGTTAAGTTAAAGGACAGACTGAAGAAGACCTAGACTTAGCTCCTGATCCTTCATAACATCATTAAAAGGTGTCTTAGAAAGATAAAACCTCTTTCAGAAAAATCACATTAAAGATAAAAAGCAGATCAAAATAAATACTACATATGACTTGTTCCTATAGAATTCATTGTCCCATTTTGCTCAATGTCAAGCTTCTGTGAAATCAATTAACTACATCAGACAAGGTCTACCTATATATATACAGTTTCCAGAGACAATAAATGACTATACTTGTAAAGAGAATGTAGGGTGAGTCCCACCTCACCACTACCTTAAAAAAAAAAAAAGGAATCACCAAGAAAATATTAGAAGAAAGTTACTCAGTTAACAAAGAAAAAAAATGACATGAAAGCTTGAGAATATAAACTCACTGGCACTTTCCAAAGAGTAGAAAAGCATCAATTATAGAAGGTAAAGGAGAGTATAATTGGGGGCGGGATCCTCCCTTACTAGGGGAAGGTGCTGCCAGGACCTCTACAGCTAGACTGGAGGGGCTAGACAAAGGTTTTGGTGAAAAGAGGAATGGAATCATCACCAAATGGCTAGGGAGATACCTTCAGCCTAATAACCAGGAAAAAGTGAGCCTGGAAATGGCAGGGTCTTCTAATTAGAACATTGGGGTCTCAACACTCAAGCACTTGGTGAAATGAAAAGTGAGGGAAACTCCAAGGTCCCTTATAAGTCATATGAAGGTCTATTCAACTTAAAAAGGGGAAAGTAGTCATAAGGAATACAAGAACCTCCTGTCTGCCAAGGGGAATGGTGGGCCCCTCAAAACAAGAGAATTGGGTTTATGGGACACCAGAATTATCTTCAGCCCAAGGGGAAAGAGAAGGCACTCTAAAGGAAATTTTTTTTTATGTGGGGAGGGTCCATTGAGTTCAGGAACCAGAAATGGAAAAAGTCTCAGCCTAAAAACGGAAATGGATAGACAGAGACCCCCAGGGATTCATCAGCTTGGAAAAAAAAAGGAATATTGGGTGGTCCTAGGTCTCGGTCCTGGAGTAAGACTAAGGATACCGTGGTCTCTTCAGCCTGGGCTGGACTGGGGTGGGGGGAGGGGAGTGGGATTGAGGGACAATTATGTTAGGATCCCAGGGTTTCTTGAGCCTGAGAAAGACTGGGGGGCGGAGATGGGGGGGGGGAACACCATGAGGTCAGGGATTGAATAAAGGGAGCCCAGGGTCTCCTCAATCTATAGACAGAACCAGAATGTTGTGTAATTGAGGGAACCTACTTAGACAGGACACGGAAAGAGTATAAAGAGAAGAAGAAAACGGGGTCTAAGAGTCAGAAGACTCGGTTCTCCTCCGTCTGGAGAAAGGACCGAGTTCGGAGGAGGAGGAGGAGAAGCCCTGGGCGAAAAAGGAGAAGCCAGGGTCTTCCAAGACTGGGGACGAGGGGCATGAATGGGAACGGGGGAGTGTCTGCTAGGAGTCGAGGTCGAAGGGATGTCTCGGCAGGTACCGGACAATACTGGGGGTGGGGAGGAGAGAGTGTCTGGAAAGTCTGGGGGTCGAAAGGATGTCTCGGACCAGGTATAAGACAATGGGGTGGGGCTGCAGGAGGTGGCTGTTCAGCCTGACGACCGGACCCTGGGTGTCGGGAAAGGCCAGGGTCTGCTCAGCTTGAGTGGGGGAGGGGAGATGCTCCGCCCCGGGACCCGGCAGCGGGGGCCCGGGAAAGGGTCGCGTGACGCCCGGCGGGCCTCTTACCTTGTCCGAGTCCAGGTCCGGATCTGCCTGGCACAGACGGTACAGGAAGGATTTCGGGTCCCGGCACAGCGTCTGCCGGGTGGTGAGGAAGTAGGTGCCGCCCACGTTGAGCCGGACCCACTTGGAGCCGCCGCCAGCAGCCCGCTCCCCGAGGGGCGCAAGCCCAAAGCCACAGCACCGACACAAACCGCCCCCCGGCCCCACCCCGACCACGGCGGCGCCGGGAGCCGGGAGCAGCTCGCGGTGATTCTCTGCCATGATCCCAGCCCCTCCGACCGGGCCTTACACTCTGCTCCGGGAGGCTAGGCTTCCTCGGGCCGGAAGCGTCCGGCCCTTAATATCATCCGCCGGACACTCTCCCGCCCGGCAAGTCCACCCTTCAAAAGAGTCCCGCCGACGGAAGTACCGCCCTGACGGTCCTCCGAAACGGAAGCAGCTCTTTAAATTGGCTCTCCACCCCTTTCTTCGCCCTCCGGTGCCGGAAGTGTTCCTCTCGAAAGGAGGACGCCTGCTGGAGCTATCGAGGAGGGAGCCGGGGAACGGCGCCAGCTTCCAAGTTCAAGGTAACGTGTGGGCCCGCCGCCGAGGTCGCTGCACTCCACCCTGACACAAGAGCCTGCCCGTGTCACGGGTCCAGAGTGTCGGTGCACTCGCCTCGGCGCCGCGGTCAGCTCCGCGTAGCGCAGCCAGCGAGGACCAGGACTCCTGCCCAGACCTTCGAGGACCCACAGGGGTCGTAGACTGAAAACAAACCCTCTTTTCCCTCATGAAACTGGACCTTTGGCCCCTTCGGTGACTTGGCATTATAGCTCTCATGTCTACAGCGCTTTCCCCGAGACAGCCCCGCCAAGGAGGCGGGATGTTATTCCCATCTTAAGAGGCTCAAAGAAAGGTCGCGCACAGCTGTCAAAGCCGGACTCCAGGCTTTTTTCACTACAAATAAGGACACAACACCGCACTATCTCTTAAAACAAAAACAACTTATCCTTGAATTCAGTTTTCTGTGATGAAAGGGAAGGTCCGGGGAGGGAAATCAAAGAAAAGAGCCAAGACATTGTACACCTAGAGCCCTACATGCTTTTTTTTTTATTACAAGACTATCGAGCATATGTGAAAAATTCATCATTCAGTAACTACATCTAAAGCACAAATATTTGGAAAGAGAATAAACAGATTCATTAAATTATGAGATATGATTAAATCATTGACCAAATAGAAAATTTATATAATAAAACCAGAAAAAAAGTTGTAAAATATAGTTTACAATAATTATTCACATTCAAGGCTGTACATCAATACATACAACAAGGTGGCCCCGAACATGAAATTCAATCCAAATAATTCATATATTAGAATTTAAATAACAGACTGAACTAGAGGCCAACAGTAGCCAGCAAATAACCTTATATAAGAATAAAAATACAAAAGTGTATATCCTAATATCATTGCATTATTTGCTTCTGTTTTCATAAGTTCTTTATTTTTTTGCTTTGCCTGTACATCAGTTACAGCTACAAACCAGGTAGAGAATATTACACGTTCTAACTGCCACCAACCTGAAAGACAGCTAACATACTATCAAAATGCATTCAATTTCCTAATTTTATGTTGTTAAAAGACAGCTACAGCAGTTCTAAATACTGCCACAATTTAGTACGTTTGGCCAACATCCAATCAAACTTAGGACATAATCATGGAGACTTTTTCAACAGTAAGAACCCACATTCATAGTCATTCAGACATACAGATTGGATTACAGGGTGGTTTACACAGCTAAAAAAATGTTTTCTTTTTATAAATAGTCCACTGTGCATACAGTTTGGAGTTTCTTCACAGACTGGAAGAAATAAGTTATGGGGGAAGATAAAGAGGTACACCTAGGTGTTTTGTTTTCAGCTCCCCATGGCTTCTATCTGAACTGAAAATTGCTCTTTGCCATAAGGATAGTTACTTACCTAGAAGAGTTCTCCAAAGGCAGCATTACATATGTGTATATATGTGTGTAGATACAGATAAATGTGTACACACATGTATATGTATGAATGTACACACACACATACACACATATGCAAAACTGAGCCACAAAGCCACTATTAATCAGGAAATTTCAGAGGAGTGACCCAGAACTTGATTAGAAAATATATGCCTAAAGACAAAATGATTACTTACACATTCACCACATATGCCGAAAAAGAGATAAAAACCACACCCAACTGAGCAATCATCAATTCATTTCTGAGTTTGGGTATGAAAGGAAATAAAATGGAGAAATGTGTAGAGCATTCATAAAGCATAGTACCTTCAGCAAACTCTCTACACCTAATAAATCTCCCACTCCATTTGAAGTTGTATCTATGGGTTCCCTCATCATTCTGGGGACCAGCCAGGAATGAGGGAAACTCCAGGGTAGTGCAATCATCTACAGAGAAAGGGCTTAAGACCCATAACCTCTGTTAAATTAAAAAGTGGTGTTGAGCATGGCTCCTAAGGAAATCTGGCTTGCATGCTTTTCATCTGGAATGATAGAACCTCCTCCTTAACACCCTTACTAAAGTGATGTGGAGAAATCAAGAAATAAACCAAAGAGATGATTTGGTCTTTCGCAGAGCTGTGATGCCTGCCTAGAACTGTTGCAGAAGGGATGAAAAATACACCTGTACTCCATTATTCCCCTGAATTATTCATTTGGACAACTCTTTCTGAGAGCCAAATACAATCAATATACTATTCCATCATGTTTGCTGGACCTCAGAGTCAAGGTGGAACTGAAACCTAAGGGACTGGAAAAATACATTAGCCTTTAAAGATCCAACCAGCAACCTAACTACAGTTTTGAATTTTTTTTTTAACTATCTACTAAGGCTCTTCTACTGGTTCCCAATAACTCAGGTGATATTTTGGAGTTTCTATAATTTCTAATAAATTATCTATGAACGATCTATGATCTACCAAAAAGTGGCAATATGAGAGCTCTACAATAATGCTCTTGCAGCTAATGGGCACTAAACATTGCACCTAAACATTGTGGCTACAACATACAAGGTCTCTGAAACATGACATGGAGCACTTAGCAGATAAACGTCAGTGGTGGAGCCAAATGCATACATAATCTGGAAGCATAACCAGATTCCTTCATTAATTTTTTTTAATGGTTTTGGGGAGAATTTGATGCTTGACTGCATTCATGACAAGGTTTCAGCCTAAAGCTTTTACAGGGAGGGTGAGAAGTCTTATTCAAATTCATTCTTTGGGACAGATAGCTTTTCATTGCATTTATTTCAGAGACTATAAGCTTTTCATGGGCCACAGGACCGAACAAAAAAAAAATGTTCAGTGCATGGAACTACAAGCTACAAGTGCCAAATGAAGTAGGTACCAGGTAAGAGACAGTAAAGAGCACAGTCCTGAAGCAGGACCTCACTGTTATGTTGTCACAAGACTGCCTTCTATGAGAAAATGCCTTAAATCAAGTTCCTTTTGTATTTCAGGAACTAAACCCCTACTAAAGGAGGTTCCAAAAGAACCTAAACTTATATCAAATACTTTAGAGTGAATAATATTACAACAAGGTTCCAGTGAAAAACACACCATCTATCTGAATGGCAATTTGTAATTTGTCTGTATAAACAGGGACTTTGTTTCATATTGAGGAGCCTCTTCTCTCTACCAGGGTCTTGAAGGAAGAGTTTTGGGGAAGTGGCAACAGGGCATATGAATTAAGAATATGAGAAAAATTCTCCTTACACATTAAAATTGGTGAAACTACATTGAAATATCATTTGGAATGCCCTTGCCCATACTGGGTTTTGTAGCTTTATGGTCCAAATGGGAACACTCATTGCCTACAGACCTATAAGAAGCAACAAAACAACCTCTGCATCCAGGTGAGAAAGTCAAGGCACAGTAGGCTTTCTGAAGAGATAATTATTATAGTTCTCTGGTCCACTCTTTTCCTTACCCATGCTTAGAAAGACCAAAACAGAGAGTGAGAAGTTGTTGTGACCTCTCTGTACCTGTCAGAACCTCTTGATTAGTGCTACCATTCTATTTGTCATTAAGTTAAAGGTGTCCTGGTTGGATTAAATAACAGGGTATTAGTTCCCTCCCCCTGTCCTCCCCAGATGACATATACATACATACATACATACATACATACATACATATATATGATCTTAAATATAATGAAAGGCACCTAAACGCCAGGGTTGTAGGGACAGACTAGAATAAATCTGATATGAGTAAGAAAGGGGTAAGAAAATAAAAAGCAAGTCTTCTAAAGGATGAACTTTTGTGTAGGCAACAAAAAACTTACCTAACAAGAAAGAGTTAGCTCACAGTGGTATCAGTAACTCTAGCTAATGGCAAAATAATTGCAGTATTCACAAAAGCTAACATAACATCCCCATCTGGTTTTAGACTTTAAAAGTGAATATTGTTATTAAGGCCTAGGAGGTAGTGGCATTACCACCCGGAAGGGGAAAAGTCCAAAAAAGAATGTCTCTTCCCCAAGACAACTACAAAAAATGCCCTTGTTAGTGGCCATACATCCGATGTGTCCATTGCTCCTGAAACAAATGGCCCATGAAAGATGTGTTGGCAAATGCAGTTTGGTATCCTTAGGTTTGATACAGTTTAAATAACTGCATAAAGAAAAACAAGTGGGGAGTTCTATAAATGCTTTGGAGAACTTTCCAATATATGTAATCTAAATCAAATGAGAGGGAAGTCATCCTAAAGGAAAAATGTTCTAAAATGGTAATGTTAGTATCACCTTTTAGAAGTAAAACAACATAACAAAACCCTTTTAAAGGGTTAGGAAATAAGAAAAGTACAATTTGAACCTATGTTACAAATGCTTAGTTAAACTTCTTAAAATCCCTTTAGATATATGATTAAAGGCACTACAACTGATACCAGTACAGAAAGACTTTACAAAGCCCCCACTCTCTGGGGTCCCACATGAGCTATAAACCTTTCTACACTATTTGGTCCTCCTTGCCACTCCAACACTGAATTCGGCTCTATGCCTAACTAGAAATCACTAGTACCATGAAGTGTTCTACTACCTATTACACTATCTGAACCATTTTGCGCCAACCTATTTTAAAAATAATCAAATGAACATTGCTAACAAGACCCTGGTTCATGAAAGAGAATGTAACTTTGAAACAATCTATGTTACCGCATTAGAGGAGATAAGAAAAATCATTTCATACCACTTAATTGGGGCAAGAAGAAGAAATAGAAGCTTTTCTAAATCTGGATCCAATTTGGCACACTATGTCTGAGACTGATGGATGACTTTTTGAGAGACAGGAGAGCCTTCCAACTGAATTAATATATTAATGACACTTATTGAAGATTACATTAAAGGAAAAGCAGAAAAATTTCTCGTCACCCTTGGGTTTATAAAGGAGATAAATGTGAAAAAAATCTCCCATGCAGCAGTATGAAAGGCCCCTCAGAGACCAACCATGCACCACTTATAACTGTACCCCAGGTACATCTCTGGGAAAATTAAGAAAACATCTTAGCCCTGATAGATTATCAGGACTTCTGCCTACTTACTCATGAAGAAAATAAAATAACTGAATTAACAATGATCTGGAAATTAAAAACACTTATCCAATAGCAGGACACTTACCCTTTAAAGAAAAAAAAAAGGTGTCAAAAAGGAAATAAAACAAGTAGGAAGAGGAGCTAAGAAAAACACACTAATTTATCAATAAGAGGTGATTAAGTATGCTATTTTTACCTCTTTTTAATGCAATTATGAGTAACACTTATCTCCAGCAAAGCCCTGCTCTTTGCAGGAGAGCCAGATGGCCCAGCAGAATGGCTAGAGAACAAATTTAGAGAAATGTTAAACGTAAAGTTAATAGCTCTCTGCTATGTTACAAGAAATGTTCAACCACAATTTAACATAAAAAGGATTCATGTGACATATGACCCTTCAATAATA